GATGGGGAGCTCATTCCTCTAACGCTAAGAATTTGCTAATAACTTATAAAAAGAGTTAGTCCAATATAGTCGATGTAAATGCAAGAAAGTACGAAAAGGATATATTGTTACGTGTTTAAGAGTAAAATTGTGACTTTAGCGTAAATATCCAGCCATCCAGGTATCTCTTCTGAATCAAGAAACCGCTTTAATGAATGGGCAGTGTTCCGTCGCTTTAAATATTTATGTTGGAAACAAGCACATGAATTGCGAGTCAACCAGCAGATACATGGTGAACTTTTGGATTAGTAAAGCTTGAAGACAATACGAGTTCTATTTATCAATGCTCACCTTCTGCAATCTGTCGAAATTTTTCACTGGCCTCCGGCGACTTATTTTTGTCCGGATGGTAGAGTTTAGCAAGATTTCTGTAGGCACTTTTGATTTCCTGCGTACTACAACCGCGCCTAAGACCCAACACCTCATAGTAATCGGGAGCTTTGCCAGCAAAGACGACGGACAGAAGAACAGCACATGTGAGACCAACAATAGCGGAGTACATATCCTTTATGAGCGACAAAGTGCGACAGGCGGGTGAAACGGGGAAAGAATCGAGGTATGTTGCTGTAGTTGTAGAATCTGCGAGGTCCCTTTTTGTAGTTGGAATGAATTATGTCTACAACATAAGTACTTTATTTAGGAAGACTGCAATAGTAGAAAGTACCTTAGGCGCTCGAGCAACTAGAATCGCCAAAGCAAACTACGAAGAGAAAAAGTCAAGCGGTCTTTCTTTTCTCAGGTTGTCATTTTGAAACGCCCATCTGTGCTTGCTCGAAGCAAAAATCACAGTGAAAAATTACGGTAGGACTCATTTTAGAGTCGGTTGGTAACTGTCTGAAAAGTTTTGATTGCTAAAGTTCACAATCTAAAATAACGTGAAAGTGTAGCATTTTGTCGTGTATTAAGGGTAAATGAAGATACGATTTAGTGTATGAACGAATTCGTTCTCAAAGTTCGTACTAAGGCAGTATCGCATTAACCAATTGAGGCACGTACACTTATGACTGAGAATTATATTTCTGTAAATATTTATTTGATAGATGACGGAACAGTAACATGGTTTTAGTGCCATGGCAACTTCTGTTTTCAGCCATCGTGCAAAAGAAGAATGTTGATTTGCATAAATTGTCAAGATGCCCGTCGATATGTAAGAGCCTCTTGGCATATAATATCTCCAGAGGACAAAGCAACTCAGCTTGGCCATGACTGAAACCAGAACCTTCGTTGAAATCGGCAAATCTCACGCAGTCCATCGGCCCTAGGGTAGAATTATCTGCACTACCATCACCCGAACCACCCCTCCGACTGGCGTCACTGTGATAGACTAATAAGGAGAATGGTCATTCGTAATAGTCAGGTCTGAAGAGAAAATTTTCCAATGTTAGACTACAGAGCGATGCATCCTGAGATACCAAATACCCCCAAAACTGAGCGTGAATTCCACTGACTTCAAAATTAAGGGATAGAGAAACCGGTTAGACCAGTTCTGCTGGCAGTAGACACAAATGCAACCTCGGCGTACGAAGATCGTTTGCCGTTAATAAATTCAGCTTGAGACAACGGGAGAGATTAAGAAAAGAATGCAGTTAAGCAGGCAAAGACAAGCTTCTCTAAGAAGATGTATTCCAGAATTAGGGCAGGTTAGATATCTGGTTGCCACTTCAAAAACGCTGGTAAATTTCAAGAAAAAGAACTGAACGACAGTATAATACAAATGCGGTTTTCAAAAATCTCCCTACCTAGGACGCTAGCTAGCGTCTCTGAGCGCAAGGGTACACATTATTCAAGCATGAACAAAAATGAAACGCACTGGAGATAAATAAAAAAAGTGATGGCAGTGGTAATTATATATAAGTAAAGTTGCAATGGCAGCGATCCAACACTTTTTGCAACTTGAGCTACGGTTAAAGGTGCCTTCACCACGTGGAGCGCCACTGCAATTGTGTGAAAACTGACAAATTGCGAAAACTTAAAACTTCTGTACAACATAGCACGGGTGCATGCAGTTAAAAGCAATACATTACTATGGAGTTTGATGATGCGCGATTATGTATAAAACCATAACTTAATTTATTCTGCCAACGCTACCGAGCTCGTTAGACCGTCCTATATAGGACGGAATAACAATAACGTTATAGTAATTGTCAATTAAATAATTATAAACGTAATACATAAAATTACCGTTAATGGTACAACAGGCTTTTATGATCGTATAGGGCAGCAAAAGCCGGAATAACGGCAGACCTAAGAAAGAGCACGAAAATGCTCTAA